ACATGTCAGCATGGCCAGCTTCGGGAAATCTCATCCGCCACAGGAGGGAAGCCCTCCACACACGTGGGTGGCGGATGAAGTGCCAGCGGAGGAAAAGCAGAAGTCAGCACCCGTCGCAGATGGGCGGTGCTTGCCCCATGCCCCGCCCTCCGCCCGGTCCTCTCTCCCTCCTCTCCTGCTCTTCACCCCCACAAAGCCCCGTGGCAGGTGGCGTCGTGAGGACAGCCTGAACAAGGCACCAGGACCGGCAGCCAGGCTCCCTCTCCCACCACGTCCTGGGTGACTTTGGGCAACACCCTCACTGCTGTGCCCTCAGCTGTCTGTGCTATAAGATGAAAGATTGAGTTTTAATTAAATTTTTTTTAAAAAGTGTGTGTCCATTGAGTGCCTTGAGCAAATGCTGAGGTGAGTATGGAACATTCCTTGATGTTATATAATACATAGGAAGATGTAATACATAGGAACGTTGCTGTGTATTATGTATTATGCATATACTATATATTATATATGCATGTGTATGGGAAGGCATTTGAGATATGGCAAGTGTCGTCTAAGTGCTAGCTTTCATGATCAATAAATGAATGACAGAATGGGTCATATGACCTGATGATATCAGAGATCCACACTACGCTGCCTCGCATTAATTCTTCTAGCAGAAAGTGTTTCGTTGTGGTTTTAATTTTGACACCGATCTTAACACCTTAGTTCAAGACAGTAAAGGTGTGTGAATCGGGGGCAGGCTACTTTGAGGTGATCTGGCTGACGCCTTGGCAACTCTATGAGATTGAGGACCAGCTGAAGAAATGGGATGCAGTCCTCTGAGGCAAGCTCCAGGTTTGCATCTCTTTACAAAAACCACTGCTGGAGACAGCTACCTGGCCTCTGGAACCGCCGATTCGCATGCTCGTGGGACAACCGCTGGCAGGTACAGTGCAATCCCCCAGCGGTGACGACCGTGACAACCAGCGTGTCCTCCTTTCTTCCTTTCTTGGTAGACTGGCCCAAGCCCTCTCTGCAGACATTCCCTAACCATCCCCCACACCCACCCCATAACTGCCTGTGAACGGAGGAGCTGGGAAGCCACACTTGCCCTCAGAGATTATTCTAGTCAACTACCTGCTCTCAATTCAACTCTTCCCAATGTCATAAATTTAACCTTCGATAAGCTAATTTTTTAAGTTTGCTAACAACGTTTTCAGTCTAGCTGCAATATCTCCCTTCTCAAAATATTTGAAAATCAAACAGAAGAGAATAACTATAGAAACAAAATGTTACCCGTTCGCATCGCCGGGCTGGGTAGGCATCCATTCATCGAAGTGGAACTTTCTAGAATCTTCTGGGATAGAAGGAAGGGGATTTACAAACTACACGGCCCTCTCCCCACTTTGCCCCTTCCATCCCGTCACGGAAGCCAGTGTTTGGATCCACGCTCTGGAGAACTGAGCAGGGAGGTGAGAACAGTAACCTGTATGAGCGCCGTAACGTTACCATTTAACTTCTGTTCTTCTAGTCATTTCTTGTGCCTGTGATTTTATGTGTAGTAGCTGCAGTGCAGATACGATTTGCAGTCTGCCTTCTCACTTAAAATGATTATGTTGAGCACAAATATTTTCATTTTGCTATATAATCATTATAACTACAATGTTACCGCTATATAATACACTCTCGGGTGGATTCGGTATAATTTACTTAACACTTTCCCTCTGGTTGTAACTTTAGGTTGTTTTCAATTTTTGACGAACATTTGACTTTAGCCCTTTAAGGAGTTGATCAGAGAGGCTGTGTGACGGGAGATAATAAGGTGACCACCGCCTCATGTATCTGCCAGTCCCGCTTTGGCCTCTTGGCTCAGTATCAGTATTAACTGTAATCCTTTCCATCTCAAAAAAAAAAAAATCCGCATTCAGACAGTAAAGTATATGCTCCCCGCTCCCCGTAGGAATAAATCCAGTGAAAAATAAAGGCCCCGCCTGACAGCCTGAGGTTCCCGCTCAGCCACTCCCAAACCACACCCAGTGACATCCTGAGCCCTGCCCAAGGTCAGCTGGTTCTCTGGTGATGACAGTCACACCGGCAGAGGCTTTCTCACCTCCACCTGGGGGACTGGAGGCTGAGAGATTTAGCGGGTCACAGACTCGGCAGTACAGGGTGCCCTGTGGAGCAGCTGGTCAGCCGTGGGCACAGGGCGCGGAGGCACAGGGGCCAGGTCGGAGCACGTGGCTGAGCGGGGCCAGCTGCTGAGCCTCCTGAGAATGCAGTTTCTTCACCAATAAAATGGGTCAGATCAAACCTGAGGGTCTCCTGTGGCCGGGAAATGATAAAACCTGTAATGCCCGCTGACCTCACCAAGGTCACCTTTCAACCTTTGCATAACCCCACAGGTTAAAGGCGCTCACAGCACTTAACAGACAGTGCCACCTCCCTTCTCGACCTATCGCTAAGAGGCAGAGCTGGATCAGGCAGTCACCAAAACAGCCCAGGGGACCAGGACAAATAGACCTTTAGTGGGTGGCGGCTTAGAATCCGTCACCAGCCACTGGTCTTGCCTGGGCCACTGCACTGCCCCGTTCCACCCACTTGAAAACAGCCTCCATGGAAATGCACCTTAGTGCAGGGTCACCTCTCCAGGGGACAGTGCTCCAGGGTGCAGGCACCTCCCGCTCACCTGCCAGGCTTGCGAGGATTATGCTGACAGCCGGCTCTCCCCGCAGACAACCCCAGAATACGGAACCCCAGACCCGCGCTAGTATCCACAGTGGCCTGAAGAGTTATTTTTCACAATGAAAATAATAATTTGGAGAAAGAGAACATGATAAAGATGTTTTTTTAAAAAATCATGGCGGCACCAGAATGAGCACGCTCCACTGAACTTGGAGTCTTTCCAAGTTGGAAGCCGAACCGGAAACAGCGGTGAAGTTTAAAGTCCTGAGCCATTTACGTTTACGGGGTAATATTACCTACATGTCAGCGGCCAGCTCCGCCTCCCGCCATTGCCCGCCTTGGCCAGACACACTAGACCGTGCACCGCAGCGAGCTTCCCGCAAACACTGAAGCTTCATCCGCTCCCAGGTCGTTCCAGTTTCTGAGGCTCTGCACATGCTTTTTGCTCTAAATGTCCACAGTTAAAAATAAGTTTCAAGGGTTAAAAGCAGAAAGGGCGGGGAGGGATGAAGGCGTCCAGGTTGAGGGAGGCGCCCCTCCCCTCCCGCGGAAGCCAGGAGGTCAGCTGCGGGTACCGAGGTCCCCGGGGGCCGCAGGGGCCCTGCAGAGACGTTCGCCCTGCGCCCTGAGCGCCCGCGGACGCCAGCGTTGGACGCGTTTCCCCGCAGCCTTTCGGAAACGAGTCGAAAGCCAGCAGTACTGGCGGTCCCGTCCTCCCGAGCCCCCTTTTCAGAGCGCACGGACCCTCCCGAGTGGCGGACCGGAGGGCAGCCGGCCGGCGCGGAGGGGTGAATTCGCGTGACGCCACCCTTCGGTCGCGACTTAAGGGACTTTAGGAGGTTTGCGGTGGGCGCGATTTTCCGCATCCTCCTCCCCCGGCCCTTAGTCTTTGATCAGTCATTACGAGAGCGTCCCCGCCGCGGGTCCCCTGGTCCTGGGCCCTGCCGGCCCCGGACTGCTGCATAGGACATCGGGCTCCATCTGGTCCCGGGGAATCAGTAACGAGGTTGCTTTCCACGCTCCCCCGCACCCCTCCCCCCCTCTCCGGGTGGTCCTAACGAGGTTAAGTGAAGCCCGAGGCCCGGGCCGGGGGTGCGCGGCGAGCCCGGATCGCGCGCACGAGGACCAGAGCCGGTGCGGCCCCCGTGGCACGCGCGCTCCCAC